AAGAAATACTGAAAGATAATCAGTTTCAAACAAAACCCCCATCTTACTGTAGAGTATATATCCAGAAATCTAGACTACTAGTGTGGTATACATATGCCCTAGAAGGCAGTTAGGTAGTAAACTCCCATGAATTGTTTGTAATTTACCTTGTCCCTGGGCAGTTTCTTAGGAATGGTTTCAGAAGCAAGGTCTCTTCTTCCTTCAGAATAATAAGGTAGGGAAGCCTCAAAACAAAGCGGCATTTGGAGGCAGAGAAGGAATAAGGTACTGGTGGGAGGAAAGGGATACCAAGCAGGTTCAGTATCTTCATACTTGTACCCTGTTTGAGCCCAAGAGGAAGCAGGAATGAGAGTCAGGATGGGTCACATAATCCTTATCCTGATATTTGAAAAGAGGGAGACATGAACACTGAGTTAATCTGGTAGTGCTACTGAAATGACTACAGAGGTAATTTGGAAGTTTAAGAGCTAATAGAGCTTCAAAGACAACCTGCTCTTTCTTGTAAAGTGGAGTAAAGATGTTGCAAATAAAACTGCATCCAAAAACTGGAAGTAAGAAAAGGGATCTCTTAGCAAATAGGAATCTAGGTGTAGAATTTATACATACATATATATATATATATATATATTTAAGTATAAAATTGAGAAAGTATGTACAAAAAATCATCCTAAATCTTAGAAAGGAGACATACAAAAAAGGCTGTGGAAAGGATGGCGAGTATGCGGGTGGATGCCTAGCAGTTGGAAGAATGCATATTGCCCAACTGCCCAGCAGCCAGCATGAGAATATCTTTCTTCTCCTTGTGGAAGCGCAGCTCCTTGCCTGCCAGTCGAGCTTCATCCAGCTCCCGCTCAGTGGAGGCCAGCTCTCTAGACAGTGCCCCCGGCACACTCTGCTCCCGGCTCACCCAGTCCAAGGCCATTTGGTGGCGAATATCATCATCCAGGGCCCGGTGTGAATAATGAGCCAACACCTCCTAGTAGGGGAGGGGAATGTGAACATTATTGAGAAGGTAAAGGTTCATGTCATACCACACTGACCCAACTGGGACTAGGAACTCTTAGCTTTAGAGACCTAACTGAGGTCAGCACCTGAGTCCTTCAAGGAGATT